GTTGATCAGAAGCTGCTGGTAAGCTAACTAAAAATAATATATACTTATATATATATATTTAAAGGGCAGTTATGACAGTCGTAAGTCTTCAAAATGCAGAAAAACAAAGCATAAACAGTTTCTTCATAGCTTACCCTGAACCTATTGAAAATGGGTAAGAAGGGTTTAATTGTATTGTGGAACTCTGACAGGCAAAAGGAGACTTTATTGACCCCCATCAACTGGCGAGTCGATCTAGTCATATCTGTCTGTCTATGAAGGTGACAATCTGAGAGACTTTACCAGCTATATACCTGAGACAATAAACTTGGCATATAGACTATATATGCACATAGTCGGAATATTTCATATGTCCATTAAAAGTTCATCGAAATTAATCAGAAGCTTTTTTCAGTCTGTTACATTCAGTTGCACAAAATCAAAATATCCCTTTTACTCATATTTGAGAGTATTTTCTGTGTCTATTTTCTTACTTGCTAGAACTGCTCATTAAAATATATATATATATATGTTAAAAAGTAAAATTACATATTTCTGCTGAATAATAATTGGTTATTTTTTGCTTATTTCAGGTGCATGCCAAGCACGAGGAGAAATCAGACACAAAGAGCGTTTACAGGGAATACAATCGCGAATTTCTGCTGCCCAAGGGCGTTAATCCCGAGTCGATACGCTCGTCCCTCAGCAAGGATGGTGTCCTGACCGTGGACGCGCCCTTGCCAGCGCTCACTGCCGGCGAAACCTTGATACCCATTGCGCACAAGTGAACAGCCAGAGACGTTCCTGCCTCCCCGAGAGCAGCTGGGTAGCATCTTCTCCACCACCAGCCCCGCACTAAATCGCTATCCACAATATCAACCTATCCCCAGGCCAGCTATATGCAACAGATCCCCAGCGTATTTCTAGCACCATACTAAAAAATCACCGCAGTTTCCCCGAAGATAACTTTGGGTTCAACAAATAGAATTCAGAATTGGCCTAAATTATTACACAATGTTTTTTTTTTTTGTTCTTGCTAAAAATATATAAATACTGACTTACTACTCATACTTAACTGTAATAACTTAAGTGTAATGCAAATTATTATTAAATTTGATTAATTTAATTCATATTTATAATTCACGCAATTAAATGTTATTATTTTCTTGTCGTAGTATTGCCTGTTTTATATCTCATGGGTTTAAGGGAAGGGCTATTATTACTATATTTCGAATACACTTTCAAGGAATGAGGAATGTCGCTCAGCTTGAAGCCATCATGGGTGCAATAGAACTTTTCGGTGGTTCAATTCACGCATTGAACGAATGCCTCGCCGAACCTCGAACTAAAACTAAAGGATATTACATTACATTATTCCAGTTTTTATTAGAACAATAATATATATTTATTTTAATAGAGGGTTCAAAATAGGCTCTTTTCGAAACCGGAATTTACGATAATTTTCATTTAAAAATTAATTCTCAGCCCGACTAAGCCCCAAAGCATAGTCTCGAAACTCACTCGAGTTATCCAACCCCATATTTGATGTTAGCTTATTTTTGGTAGACATCAATATTTAACCCGCAAATACAATATAAAAATACTAGCTCTAGAAATGAGTTATTTTTTGGGTAATAGGGGAGAAGGTATCCCAAAAAATGAAACAATTCTTCGCACTGTAAACAACAATAAATTAACGATAGCCTAAATACCAAGTTTGATTTATCTAGCTTTTATAATTCGCTAGTTATGCTAAGAAAACCCAAGTCAAAACGAAGTATGGAAGATTATACACTCAAATTTCAAGTCTCTAGCCCTAGAACATGTCAAAGTCGACTCAGCTCGTCGTCCTGTTCAGGAAGTCCATAAATACCCAATGGAATCGGAGATGTTTTCATGTGCTTGTTACATACATTTGCACAAATATTTTATATACAATTGATCTAGAGGCCAATCCATGAGCAAAGAGCCAAACCTCGTGAAAATCTGATAAGATTTGACCGTGGTATGGCGGTGGGAAATTTTGACCTATGTCTTTTTCCACGATTTTGACCAAGATTAATGTTGCCAGATTTATATGTTAAATTGATCTAGATGTCAAACCATGAACAAGAAGCAAAACCTTATGAAAATCGATTGACATTTGACCGAGTGATGAGAGTGGGAAATCTTGACCCATATAGAATATTGATTTTGAAGTGAACCAGGTCGAGCCCAGAATTTCATGGTTTTTTTTTTTACTGTAAAGCAAAAACCAAAAGATTTGCAGAGAAGTCGCTTTGGTCAAACTTTTTTTGAAGCTCGCTGATGAATTCGTTACTCGTAGTTTATAAGATTTTAAAACAAAGTGAAGATTCCTTAGCCATGTTTACAGCTTCCTAAGGACCCGCTAACAAAAGAATACGTTCGAAACTCTGGACTAATTTGTGTTTGATTGGTTCCAAGTTGATGCACAACTCGTTTACGACCCGTTGATTTTCTTGCAGCTAAAAGGGAACTTAGTTACTAACAGATTAAATCTATATTCATTGAAACTTAGCTGGGTGCACAATCTAATATATATATGTCCAGGTATCCTTGGGTCTAGTGTCAAACTGTGCACTGGCTGGGGGGGGGGGCTGTGAGTGGTCGTCAGTATCTAAAATATAAATCGTAACATACTGAGAAACAGTTTTTTTTATTTTTTTTTTGTAAAGTAACTCGAATCATTAGAAAATTAATTTTGGGGGCTACTACCATAGGCAAGATCCCATATACAGGCATAGTTATGAGCAAACGTTATTTCGGAACGGTGCGACGTGGAGGAGCATGTTGAAGAGCTAGCTGGCTCGCTCTGACCAGTGTTTGGGCCGCATATCAATATATATAGCTGTTGCCTCCGATACGTACGTCATAATGTTTTACACTTTTGCATATTTTACATTAAAAATTAAAAAAAAATTATAATAATAATCATATTTATAATACCCTTTTTTCATTTCTTTGTATGACATTTGTGAATGTAGCTAACTACCAAAAATGCAAGAGGAGCAAGACCCAAAGCACGAGCCGCTCGATGTGGACAGCGATCCGTTGCGTCTGCCGACGTCGCTGCTAATTGAGGATCCCCGCTATCGCATTCGACCCATGCAGCAAGTGATTTCGGCTTTAGTTGGCGGACTGATTACAACATTTGTGGGTGAGTAGCCAGCAGGCAATATCACGCTGTGATAGTATTCTAGTAGCCGCAGCGGCATTTCCCTAGTGACGCCGCTGGAGGTGGTTAAGACGCGGGTGCAAACCCAGACGCAAAGCCAGTCGCGCAAGCGTCCGGTTGTCTCCAAGCTCTGCTATGTCTTTCACAATGGCCTCATGACGCACGTCTGCAAGCCGAATGCCGTTGACTGCATGGCCAAGAGTGCGGCCATGGATGCAGCCAATATGCGTCCACTGCGCGGTGCAATGGTAGGTGATAGTCCAGTGCAGCAGGCAGCCTGCCATAACTCATTTCCCTGATCTTCGGCAGGATGCTTTTCTCAAAATCATTTGCGGCAACGGCGTATTTGGACTTTGGTCGGGCCTGAGTCCCACGCTTGTCTCAGCGCTGCCATCGACCATTATCTACTTTTTAACATACGAGTATCTGAAGCATTCGTTTGCGAATCTATATTACATATGGCACCCTCATCCTTCCCTCAACGCCGATAATCGCGACAAGGAGAAGCTGTTTAAGACGGCAGCTGAGGGACGTCTAAGTCTGCCGTCTGTCGTGCCCATGGTATCGGGCGTCTGTGCGCGTACGGTTGTTGTTACGGCCATAACGCCGCTTGAGATGATCCGCATTAAGATGCAGGCGGGCTACATCACGTATACGGAACTGTGGATTGTGCTGCGTTCGCTAATCAAGTCGCAGGGCGTGCTGGGATTGTGGCGTGGCTGGCCGCCAACGATTATGCGAGATGCTCCCTTCTCGGGCACCTATTGGGCTGCCTACGAGTCCATGAAGCGTGCCTGCAATGTGACGGAGCCAACGTTTTGGTTTAGCTTTGTGACGGGCGCAGCCTCCGGCGCGGTGGGTGTCACTTGCATTCAATCTGTCTGTCTTATATCTGCAAAACAATTTTATTTTTAGTTGGCCACCTTGGTGACAATGCCTTTCGATTTAATTACCACACATACGCAAATTGAGCTTGGCCAGGATGTGCTATACTCCGATTCGTCTGGATCAGGCAAAGGCGGCACTGGGGCTTCCGCAACCACGGCTGCCACCGCATCAGCTCCGGCCAAACAGTCGGTGTTTTCACGCTTAAGCATGATATATCGCCAGCAGGGTATACGGGGGCTCTATGTTGGCGTTATACCAAGGATGCTACGAGTTGTGCCAGCCTGTGCCATTATGATATCGGCGTTTGAGTACAGTAAATCGTTCTTCTTTCGCTATAATCTTGATTTAAAGGATACCGGTATGTAGCATAACGGAATTCTGTTCCAAATTCTGTCACACCGCGAGTAGCTTTTATATCGATAGACTTTCTTGAGCCACAACACCTACGTATCGATGAGTTAACAAATAACAACTAGTACTGCCAGTTATCGATTAACAAATCAATTTAAAGTTTACAAATGGCTACAAATTACATTTTAATTTAAATTGACAATAAGCTTTATACACTTCATATATTCTCAAAACAACTATATATATATATATATACCTACAGGGTAAGCTTTCGATATGTACCTAGTATCTATATTTGAACTCGCAATCACAATTAGATTATGCTTATAGGCTAAGCTTTCACGTACTAGAATAATGAATTGTAGAAAAAAAAACTCTTCATAACTGGGTGCACAATTTACTATTGAGAATGCCAGATCTGATGTGCACACAGCTAAATTGGCAACACTGATGGCACCAGCTGTTGCATCGATAGTACAGATCAACTATCGATAAGTTTAAACAACAAATTTCACACACACAAACAGACACACACTCACACATTAACGTGGGAAAACAGTTTTTTTTTTTTGTAGTCTATCAGGCGCTTAAAAGTCCTCCAATTGAATGACAATAAACACGCGCAAAGAGTCCGCACACTTAAACTATATCTTCACATTAGGTTACGGACGTGCTCATTAAAGCGTCAAATAGAAAATACCGGAGTACATAATGAAACCCAGCGCAACCATGCTGGAGGCCAAATATGAGACCCCGGCGAACCAGACAACACAGGCCAAGTATACAATGATAGATCCCAGATTTCGCATACGTCCCATTCAGCAGGTTGTGTCCGCCTGCACGGGTGCCATGATAACAGCCTGCTTTAGTAAGTGATATACATATATATATGTGTATATATATACATATATATAAATATCTGAATCTAATTTCATCACAATCTATGCGCATTGCAGTGACGCCCTTGGACGTAGTCAAGACCCGTTTGCAGGCACAACAATCGGCACTGCTGTCCAATAAATGTTTCCTATATTGCAATGGCCTCATGGATCACATATGTCCTTGCGGTCCGAATACGCCACCGCCTACATCTAGTCATGCATTTACTAAGCTCTCGCCTGCTTCTGCCTCCTCCTCTCACTTTACGGGCACCATTGTGAGTCGATATAGAATCTACATTTGAATTTCAGTTTCTAACTGGTTTTTTTTACACACAGGATGCATTCATTAAAATTAGCCGCACTGAAGGCATTGGCTCACTCTGGTCTGGTTTGAGTCCAACGCTCATCTCCGCTTTGCCCTCGACCATTATATACTTTGTGGCCTACGAACAGTTCAAAGCACGTTTCACCGATCTGCACTACAAGTACCTGGCGCCAGTACAGAGTTCACCTTATAGCCGGGACATTCCAATGCTGGTGCCATTACTGGCGGGCGTTACGGCCCGCATACTGGCTGTGACCTTTGTTAGCCCCATTGAGATGATACGCACCAAAATGCAGTCGCAAAAGATGACTAACGCCGAAATGATCGGCTCCATACGACAGGTGATGCAGTCGCAGGGTATTTTAGGCTTGTGGCGTGGCCTGCCGCCGACCATACTGCGTGATGTGCCCTTCTCTGGTATTTATTGGACCTGTTACGAATACCTTAAGAGCAGTTTTAATGTCGTCGAACCCACGTTTGGCTTTAGTTTTGTCGCGGGTGCCATTTCAGGCTCTGTAAGTTTTTACCCAAACCAATAACCGAATACCCTTTTACAATCCATTTGCTTGTCCAGGTGGCTGCATCGATAACCACGCCATTTGATGTAATTAAGACGCATGAGCAAATCGAGTTCGGTGAGAAATTCATATTTACAGGTAGGCCACTTGCTTTACCGCCCGTTGCCAGCTCCACTTATGCTACGTTTTGCCCTACACTAGATAATCCGCCCAAGAGTACGCCGACCAAGTCAGTTTTGGAACGTATGGCAACCATTTATCGCTTGAATGGGCTGCGGGGCGTATTTTCAGGACTCGGACCGCGTTTGTTTAAGGTGGCGCCAGCCTGTGCGATAATGATATCAACATTCGAGCACAGCAAGGCGTTCTTCTATCACTACAATGTTGACCAGCATAATCAGGAGCTGTTGGCCATGAATAGTGCGACAAAGGCGAATGCGACCCCAACCTATGACACGAAGGCAAAGGACTAGATGGACTGGTAGTGGCTCGACTTGCTTTCCGTGTGCCTGTAAATATGTAAATTATTACCAAAGTTAAAAAAAAAAAAAACAAAAAACAAACCAAAATCGCTGGGTTACAACCATTTGCACAGTTTGAGATTCGAAGCCTTTGTAAAATTGATGAGTAAAATAAAATTGTTTTTTTTAAATAAACCGAAATTCCTTCAATGTAGGCCGATTGGCGCCACATCGATAACATCAAGATATCGCCAGCAATCGATGGCCAAAAATAAAATAAAAAGTACAAAATAGGTTGAGCTTAACAAGAAGCGGAGCACATTGCTGAATCTTTCAGTTTCATTCATTTCTTTAAAAGATTAATTAAATTTTGTGCCAGTGATGCCCAGCAATTTTTTTGGCATAACTTTATTCTGGCTAATGGCTTTTAAAATTAATAAAAGCCAAATCTGGCGGGCAAATGGCTAAATGGACAACACTGCACGAAAAGTTGCTACGATAAATGCGCATATGTTCATTTCGCCGTAATCGATAAATGTGCATATGTTCATTTCGCTGTTATCGATAGCACTAAAAACACGTGCTGTCATACAGTGTTTTGTTTTAGTTTTTGATTCTAAATAACGACAGACAATGGATAATCCAGACACCGTTAACATTGATGTAGATGTGGCAGACAAATCATCTGATTTGGCGCTGAATGAAGATAAGGCATCTGAAGGAGCCGGTGCTCGGACAGACACTGCAGCTCCGATTACAGAAAAGGATGCATCTAAATCTAAGAAAAATAAAAAACCCACAACACAAGCCAAACCCACAGCCAAAAAGGTGGTCAAACCCGAGGCAAGTATACCGCGCGGTCAACCCAAATCCAATCGGCCCTGGAAGACGCCCAAGCAAAAGTAAGTCCAACAATCCAACTTCTTTACATTACCACAGCCTAATTCGCAGCCGTCCTTCATCATCTACAGATTCAGCAACATCAAGAAGACGGTGAACCGTCTCTCATTTGAGAAGAAAGTGGCGCTGCGCAACGAGATGCGCTACATCAAGGAGAAATCCAAGGAGATTAAGGATCAGCGTAAAGAAGCCGCTGTCCAGCGACATCAGCGACGCGTCGAGAACGCCGAGCGGCGTTTGGCCAACGAGCGTCGCTCCGAAATTGTCCAAGTCATCAAGAATCCGGCCAAGCTGAAGCGTATGAAGAAGAAGCAGATGCGCATGATCGAGAAACGGGATCTTAGCAAAGTTAAAGTGGTCTAACTTGAAAAATACCCTAGCTTACTTTTACGTATTTTTTTGCACCATAAATAAATCTAGTTTTGTAATGTGATTTGAAACGTGTGCGTGGAAAGTATCTATCCAAATCGGAGGAGACATCTTCGATATGTTTCTCTGATCCATTTGTACATAGATGTATGCATATATTCATTATCAACTGCCGAGTTGACCTGTAATTAAGATTAGAAATGCCGTTCGAAGCAGAAGAGAAAGAGTGTAAATTAGATTGAGTATGAGAAATGATTAAATTCGTTAAATTGCCCAAAAATGGGTGATATATTAATAGGCAAAGCATAAAAATCGAAATTCATGAAAATCGCATAGAAAGGCAATATTTACAAGTACGTTTTAAAACTGCTTCCAATTTTGTTTTGTTTTTTTTTCTTGCAATAGTTTTTAGAATATGTTTCAGATTGATTTGTTTTCTTTTTGTTTAATGTACAACACTGTAGAAATTATGTAAATATGTCCATATGAACAGTTAAAGCTTATTTTCCTTTAGACTAGCTTAACAAATTAACATAGTATTCCAAGTCAAGATTAGAAAAGTCTGTCTGCCTGTTGCGCATATCAAGACGAAATTTAGCCAAAATCTGTTTGCGTTGTTCGTTCAAAGCGTGGCTCCTGATTCGTTTCTGTTGATGTTCTTTGATGGCATCCATTCGGATCTGAATGCGCGCCCGCAGCTGCAGGTCCAGCTGATGTACCAGCGATTGCACCTGCGGCTGTTTCACGCTCGCTAAAGGCGTGCCAACCAGTTGGCTCTCGAGTAAGGATTGAATAAACCCGTTGATGGTTTGCGCTGCCGCAGCATAGTCTGTGCTGGTTAGTGTTAGGCTTAGCCTCTCCCAGCCGGTGTCTGTCTCACTGGGCGGCTCGAGACGCGTTTGCATTTGGCGTATGACAGCTGGCGGCACGCCATCCGAGCCACGTGACTCATTTCCCTGGAGACATGCGTCCAGGCTGCTGGCCACATGAATCTGTGCATACAGGCAGTTTTGGCTGCGACACAACTGATAAAGCTTATAGCGCATGCTGCGATAATAATGATTATCATCACAAACAATTAGAAAGTTGTTGTTGTTGCCAATGGCTGTTGTAGTTGCACCTCGCACCTTGGCAGGCAACTCAGTGGCGCCCGCTTGAAGTGCCGCAATGAGCTGTGTCAACAAATTGTGTATTAACTTGCGCTGCGTTTTATAGTCTGTGTTGTTTTTAAATTCTATGTTAAAATGGTCATCGTAGCACAGATGCAACACATTCCAGCCGGTAAGAGATGTGGGTTGATCCAGCAGCCAGTTGCTAAGGCGTGTCTTGCCAGCGCCCGGCAGGCCGATTAGCGCAAGCAGACAAATGCGCGGCATTTACATTCAGTTTGTGTGTGTGTGTGTGTGTGTGTGCTGTGTATTAAGTGTGTGTGTGTGCTTGTTGCTGCTTAACTATCTAATATTGAAAATAAGAGCTGCGGCATGGCATTCCAATCCGCTTGCGCTTGCTGCTGCTACATAGACAGCTTGGCCGGCGTTTGGGCTGGCGTCAGCACAGCTGTGGCAGCGGCAGCGATTTCCTTCTCCTTGAGCTGCTCCTTGATGCGTTCCTCCTGCTGATGTTGCTCCAATTGTTTGGCGTTCTGTTCCACTTCCTCCATGCGTTTGGCATTAATTTTTGTTTGCACATCCACATAGGCTTTCATCATGTTTTGATTGAAGCGCGCAAATTTGGTCACACATCTGTCCACGCAGATGCTCTATTTATTTTTTAATAATAAATCATTTTACTAACTATAACAAACATATATTAAGTCACGCTCACCTCCTGGTCGAACAGTTCGCGCTGACTGAGATTATCAACGCAGCGATTGAAGCACAACTCTGTGACTTTGTTGTATAATGTGAGAAAATCTTTTAGCTGCAATGCGTAGATTTTTATGAGTTAAAAGTGGCGCATTTGCTGACATCAAGCATACGTTACGCAAATTCGAATCCATTGGTCAATACAAATTTTAAAAGCCGATCTCAAAACGTTAACTAATATCAATTTATTAGTGCTTTTTGTGGAAACCGACAGCAGGCAACAGCTGACTTGCTGTTTATTTGACAAGTGTTAATCGGCGTTTTAACTATCGATGATTAATAATACAGCTATGCAACTATCGATGGTGCTTATCTTTGGCAATAGTCGAATGCCACATGTGGTCCACATGGCCAATCGCTTAGAGATGGAAGGAAGCTCAGCAACTCACCCAAGTTATCGCTTTGGTTTCGATTGACTTGAAACGGTTTAACGATAGCATGAATACAAAGCGCCAAATTCGAATAAAAGCTTCATTTATCTATTAAGCTGTAAATTTCAGTCACGTATCTGTACACATATATAAACTATATATTTATATAAACAAAAAAAAAGGTTTTTGATTTTTTAAATAATTCAAAAGTCTAAACTAAAATTACAAGCAGTAATTGGTTAACCTTCATAGCCAACATCTTCATCTGTGTACATTTTTATTGGCTGTCCGGCTGTTTCATTCACAGTTTCCATCATCTCAACATCACGGCAATTGGCCGCCTGCAGCTCCCGTCTGATATCCGCGGTTATCTTTGGATGAGATTTCTTTCTGCAATTTTAAAGTTTTGAATTACTCTGACTTCTGTTATTATCTAGACTTGACTCACTTTAAAAGCTGAAGCAGCGCATCCTTTTGGTCCGAGGAGATGTCATTCTTATAGCGCTGTGCAAAAGTGAGTAGGCTTTGATGCCATAGCACTGGCAACTCACGCTTATCGTTCTCAAATCTGCAAAGAACGAGGAAATGTTATGAGATAGGAAATGAAGATGAGATAGAGTTTGGGTTCGGTTTACCTTAGAAAATGAAAGACGGCCGCATCGATAACACGATACGGCAGAGCATAGCGTTTGTCCAGGAAATAGCGTATGAATATCGAATTGGCACCGGAATAGCTCATTTCACAGATCTTCAGCAGGCATGCGGACGAGTGCAGCACGGGTATGGAGCTGCGGGCCACAACGCTGCCGAATATGATGGCCTCACGCAATGTACAGTCGCCAGACTCCAGCAGTGGCAGAATGATGCCCTTCATAAAGGCAGCCGGCTTGAAGAGAGCGCGTTTCAGTGCATTATACAAGTGCATATTGAGCTTTTTGTATTCGCACAGATCATCGCGAACGCGCGGCAAGAGCACCAAGTTATAGAAACGCTGGGCCATCGCTTGGGACAGCACCGAACAGAAGATGCGAGTGCCTTGGAACATGGCTGCAGCGCTCCAGTTGTGCGGCTCCGTTATGAACAATATCTGCTCCCAGTTCCTAAGCTTGGGTATGATCTTAAATGCTTTCGGAATCTTGCCGCTGCGATAGCGCTTGAGCACTTCCCGGACACCCTCATACATTTCCTTAACCTTGGGATCGATTTCCTCGATTTTCAGCGAGCCCTCGTCGGAGATTTTTGTGTGTATGTCGGCGCCCTTCTCTTGGATCTTTTGCATTATTATCTCAGACAGATGTAATGTGCGTTTGCCCTCCTTGGTGGGCGGCTGTTGGAAGCGTTCGAAGGCAGCGACATCATCATCATCCATGTCCAAGTCGGCCATGAAATCATTTTCGTTTACGTCTTCCTTTTCCTGCTCCACATCATCGTCTATTTAGTGTGTAGAGTTATTAAAATGGGAATATCAACTTTTACTTCTATATACGCGATATTACATACTCAAATTGAATTTAACATTCCTGCGGGGCGCTAGGTTTGGGAAGTTTTCCTCGTTCAGCTCCAGTTGCTGTTGTCTGGCTGCTGCCAAGATCTTTTGACTGCTTCTCGCGTCTATATTCTACAATAAATGATAACGATTAGAATATTATTTTATATCTAAGGTTCCTTAATTTACCGGTGACTCCTCTGCACGTAATTTAACCTTCTCCTTGTTCTTGGCTTTGGACACTTTGCCCTCTGTGATTTGCTTTTCCAAGTTGACTGTTTTAATTGTCGCCACATTTGCCTTCTTCGGTTTGCCCATTTTTGTATATTTACAAATAATACCCTTTTACAATGAAGCAAGGTTTTTAATAACAAAACTGAGCACAGCACGTGTTGTAATCGTTGTTTATCGTAGGGAGGCACCCTGTTCTTCAATGCAAGCGCATGGTCACTCACATTTTTGACAGCTGTTGTTTCATGTATGCATTGAAACATATCGATGAGGAAAATACGTTAGTGATGAGTGATATGATGAGTTTTTGTAATTGTTTATGCGGTATAAAACATATTTTACACGGATTTAAATTAATATTATGTGAAAAATTAGAGCACACATAACCGTATTGAAAGACAGAACCCGACTTTTAACGCTTGGTTTATGTTAAATTGGTATCGATTATTTGTTTTTATCATATCGATTGCGTTCGATATATCAATGGCTGCTGCATCCCTATTTCCTTTCCCTTACCTAGCTGGTTTTTGACAAGACCGATTCTTTTTTTTTCTGTGTTGATTGCAGCAAGACCGACATAATGAAGGTGTGCAAAAATTTTGTGAAAAATATTATAACAAACGTTGTAAACATTTAAAAATATTGATAGAAACAACTGGCATAAACAATAAACTAGTGCAAAAATCAAGCGTTCCTTGAAAAACTCAACTGATTGGCCTTAAAATAAAAGATAACAATTCTGTTAATTTGTATATATGTATGTGAACTAAACAAAAATTTCGTGTTTACTTGCAGCTCAACGTTTCTTATCCCGCTACGGGATGCCAAAAGCTGTTCGAAGTTGTCGATGAGCACAAACTGCGTGTGTTCTACGAGAAGCGTATGGGCCAAGTTGTGGAAGCCGATATTCTGGGTGATGAATGGAAGGGTTATCAGCTGCGCATCGCTGGCGGTAACGACAAGCAGGGCTTCCCCATGAAGCAGGGTGTGCTCACCCACGGTAAGTGTTAAGTTAATCAATTGTAATAGAATTTTACTCACTTTCTGTTATACCGTTATTGTGCAGGTCGTGTGCGTCTCCTGTTGAAGAAGGGACACTCCTGCTACCGTCCACGCCGCACTGGTGAGCGCAAGCGCAAGTCTGTGCGTGGCTGCATTGTCGATGCCAACATGTCAGTGCTGGCTCTGGTCGTCATCAAGAAGGGCGAGCAAGACATTGGCGGTCTGACAGACACAACGATTCCACGTCGTTTGGGCCCCAAGCGTGCCAGCAAGATCCGTAAGCTGTACAACTTGACCAAGGAGGATGATGTCCGTCGCTTCGTTGTGCGCCGGCCATTGCCCGCCAAGGAGAACAAGAAGGCCACCTCCAAGGCACCCAAAATCCAGCGTCTCATCACACCCGTGGTGCTGCAGCGCAAACACAGACGCATTGCTCTGAAGAAGAAGCGCCAGCAGGCTTCCAAGGAGGCTGCTGCCGACTACGCTAAGCTCCTGGTTCAGCGCAAGAAGGAGTCCAAGGCTAAGCGCGAAGAGGCCAAGCGTCGCCGTTCCGCCTCGATCCGTGAATCGAAGAGCTCTGTTTCAAGTGACAAGAAGTAAATGTGAAATGGCCGCCAACAACTGCTAACATCTACCCACATCGTATAAGAAACAAATTTGTAGCCATTTGTTAATAAATTGTGAATGGTCAAAAGATATCCCTAAGCCAAACACTTCTTTTTTTTCTTGTGAAATCGCGTGTTAACCTTAAAAGAGATCCCTCTATGAGAATGTGCTCAAGTGAAAGTTATGCAAAAGTACTATGCCATGCGCAGAAAGCTTCAATCGAAAGAAACTGCAGGTATGGAGTGAACTTTCTATGGGAATTAATCCTGAAACAATCCCCATATATAGATTTGCACTTTATGCCAAATGATTTTAGAGAAGAGCTGCAGGATTGAATGTACCCTACATGGCGACAGATGAGCTCCTAAAGTTATCATAGCTATTAAGGCATATTCAACATGAGGATCAGGGCTTTGTTCTCTTTGCCGATGTCCATAACATTATGACCAATTTATAAGTTGGGTATGGCATATGTGAAATAATAATAGGAGGCTTTCCCAAAGCTGTTCAAAGACAATGAAAAAAGCAGGGCCGGGCAGATCGCATTCCTGCATGATAAACATATGTACCATAGATATATGTATATATATATTTACTAAATATATAGCCATGTCGTTCTTTCTGTCCCTGTGCAAACAAGGCATTCACTTTGTCTTGACAAATCCGAATTCTCGCTTCACATATGCATTTCCAAGTCGGCCGGCTCAAATCCCTATATCACATAGCTACTTCTACTTCTAGCTACTTCTTTTAAAAGAAAATAGATTCCAATGCACTGTCGACCTCATTGCCAGGAGATCTAATCATAGAGTTTT